GCTGGGGAGAGAAAAACTGGCACAGGGTTAGCACCAGACAGTAAACATATCACATAGTGAGAGCACAGCCACACAGGTGGACTGTCTTGGCTCTTCCACCTAATTTCATTAGGGTCATGCGTGTCTAAGACCTTCTGTGTGATTAACACTGTTGGTCAGCCCTCCAGGTGACCAAGTAAGCGTGCAAGGCTGGTAGACACTCATAAAGTCCTTGGACTAGTGACACTAATAAAAAGAAACACAGAAAGAAGGTGTACAGCAAAAGTATTACCTTAAAAAGAATTGGTGATCTGGATGGGTAGAGAAAACAGCTATGCATGGCACAGGCTGGGCCCTGGAAGTGGTGAACAAGGCAAACGCTTATGTGGAAACACAGACTAATCTGGATTGTTCATGCAACAGGAAAATCAGGGAGGCAATGCTGTAAGCATTTCCACTACTTTCCCAGACAAACCTGTTGCAGAGGGTATTAGTTTTGCATACACCGGGATGCCTTTCCTTGTACCCAAAAGTGATGCTGGGTATTTCTGTTCATGTGTGGACCTCAGTCCTCTCCATCTCTCAGCTGAGAGTAGTCCTAGGAGGCAGACAAGCCCAGTTCTCACACCACCTGTGGTGGCATACCAAGTATGAACACCTGAAATCTCTTTGACAGTCATTCTTCAACCTCAGAGAGCTTTCTGCGTCTGGGTTGTTTGCAGGAAGATTTCATTCACAGATCACTGCAACAGCTGCAGCCTTTGCTAAACTGAGCAATAAATGCCAGGAGCCTTCCTTAGTCATTCAATAGCCATACCAGAACCTCCTCGTGGTCCAAGTCCTGCATAGTGCAGACATCAGATACCTGATTAAAAACTGGGCCAAATGCACTGCAAAGGCAGTGGTGAAACCAAACTTCTAAGACTGAGCAATAAGCACTTACCAGTGTCTTTTTGACACTGGTCAAATCCATTACCATTCTTATGCCTTATCACAAACCCACTGCCACACGTGCCATCCTCCAGCAATTCCTCTTACTCAATCCAGTTTATTCACACACGTCACACATTTTGCACCTTTTTGGTCCTCTAAACTCTTCCTCCAGTTCTATTTTCCTAACTTTTTTCTCTTCCTAGCTTCTCTCCTGTCTCCTAAAATGCAGTCATCACTGCTACATGTGTAATTTCCCTGTCCCCCATACAGATAACACCAATCTGAATTTTCAGACTGATAAAAAGATTTTCCATTAAAAAGACAAAGCAAAGAAACAAGCACTGACCTGATATTTTCTACAGCTAGTTTGTTTCCTATATTGCTACAACATGGGTATGAGAAGGGGCATGCTCTCTTAAACACAAAGCCTAGCAGCTTAAGAATTCCACAACAGAAAAGATAATAACTTTTGGGTTTTTTAAATATCTTTCACCCTTATCCTTTGCCCACTGCTTATCAATATCAACTTTGTCATACCCACACTAAATCCAGTAATCCCATCCTCTCAGCCTTGCTGCCTGATACTTTTTTCTGTGACCTAGTGTGTCTTTAATGAGATCACATAATTCTTAGAGCAGCAACTTTGTGTTTTCACTTTTACAGGAAATTGCTTGGCTCCTTGGTGGGGGGGCTGACTAAATGACAAACACAGTAATAACAAAACAACTGATTCTCTTCAACAGGAATTGCAGAGAAGCACTGTCAACTCAAACACACAACAGTGAAAGTATGTGACGGATTTGAAAGGAAACAAACTCTTTTGTGGAGCAAATACTGATGAAAACTGTTCTTTCCATGAATAATTTTTAAATTGAGGATAAAAAAAATCCTAATAATTGGCAACTTTGCTGTTGTTTGAAAGAAAGGTCTGTCAGAGGATGCAAGCAAAAGGAAGAAGTGGAAAAAGATGGCTTTTATCAGATATATGGAAGGAGAGGAGAGTACCTGAAATCTTGGCTACAGACGTTTTCTTTAACTTACATTTTTTTGTACTCTTAACCTGAAATCAAAATAATTACGTTTCTGATTCTAATTTCAGCTTCTATGGGGGAATTTCACTCGTAGTAAATTAGATATCACATACCTAATGACATTAAAGGGGATTCATTTCTAGGTTGAGACACTTTGACGTCTGGTCTATACAAAATGAGTTCCTGTGTGCCACAGCTAAGTTCCCACTCCTGTTAGTGGACACCAGTGTAGCCTATACAGTGAGTGTGAAGCAGTTCAGCTAATCCTAAATTATTCTGAAAGTAAATGCTCTTTTGGGCTTGCTCACTCTAAACTGTACTTCTGTTAATTTCTGGAGCTGAGACACCAAGTATTAAATTCAGATACACACATAGACATCTATTGCCAGCTAGGACAACCACAGGATATCCTTCTGAGCCTCTAGCTGCTGGACCAAAAAGACATAAGTTCTGTGACCAATCTGTCCATCCTACAGGGTGTCTTGGACTCTCCATGGCATCTCAAATGGCATGAGACCCTTGTGTTGAAACAGTGACCTCAGCCCCTAGGCCACAAGTGGAGACACCTAGATGTAAGAGATGGATTTTTTTTTTTTTTTAATTTAAAACACTACAGCTTATTTAGGTTCAAAATCATTTTTACCAGTAACAGTAGGGTGAGGGATGGGCCTTTTCTCTGCTCTAGCAGAGCAGAGGAAAAACGGTCTTTTCTCCTGCCAGGTCCTGCCAGGAGCCTGCTCCAGCGTGGGCTTTCAACAAGGGCAAAGCCTCCTTTGGGCATCTCCCTGCTCTGGTGTGGGGTCCTCCCCAGGCTGCAGGTGGAGATCTGCTTCACTGTAGACCTCCATGTGCTGCAGGGGCACAGCCTGCCTCACCATGTTCTGCACCATGGGCTGCAGGGGAATCTATGGCACCTGGAGCACCTCCTCCCCTCCTTCTGCACTGGCCTGGGTATCTGCAGCACTGCTTCTCTCACATATTATTGCTCCTCTCTCCAGCTGAAGTTGCACAAGTGTTTTCTCCCCTTCTTAACTATGTTATCCCAGAGGTGCCACCACCATCACTGATGGGCTCTGCCTTGGCCCAGCAGGTCCATCTTAGAGCTGGCTGGCATTGGTTCTGTTAGACACAGGGGAAACCTCTAGCAGCTTCTTACCTAGAAATCACCCCTGTAGCCCTGCTGCTACCAAAACCTTGCCATGAAAACCCAACACAGTAGAAAACACTGAACAGATGAACAGACCACCTACACAAAGTGGCTTGTCCACGGTTTATGGACACCAATGAAAATGTGCATATTTTAAGAGGAAAGCTGTGTGTGTGGTAAGGGTCTCTTGTGTTTGTCATTTTGCTGTAGCAAAACAATATAACCACTGCAACTGGCCTTTCTCCAAGTAGCAGGGCAAACCAATGTTTTTTAAAGGCAGTCTGTTACAACATGAGCAGGACATACCAACTACTGAAGTCCTTGAAAGATTTAGATATCCGTTCAGCTTTTTTTCTGAAGCTGGCATTATACAAGAATGCTTTCTAATTAATTTTCCAGTGCAAGGGAACCAACGCACTAGGCATCACTGAATACACACTTAAAACTCAGACAAACAAAACATATTACTTACCTGGTGTAATATGACTTCATGATAAAGGGCTTTGAGCAACCTGGTGTAGTGGAAGGTTATTCCATGGCAGGGGGGTGGAATGATATGATCTTTAAGGTCCCTTCCAACCCAAACCATTCTCTGATTCTATGACTCTGTGATGTGGATAGATGTTCATTATTCTGCATGTTCCTTATGATCAGTTTTGACAATGTACTGCACTTAGAAAACGGAAATGCTCAGTTTAAACTGACCCTTAACATACAGTTCTTTAAGGGAAACATTTCACATAGGTTTTAAATACTGATCAATCTTTAAATGAAACAGTACAAAAATTAAAAGGGAAAATATAGTATGTTTAGGGTAGGAACCACCTAATCTGAACTCTAGTCAGGCATCTTAATGTCAAGTGTTTAATCTAAGCTACTCGTATAGGTTCCATTTACAGTCAATGGTGAGAGGTAATTGGGTAGTAAGTGCATGCAGAGGGTAACTCAACACACCTCTTTTAAACACATAATTTAGGATAAAATGAAGTAGGGTTTGTAGGTACCTTTCTCTACTGACTTAAGGGGAAGACTAGAATACTAGTGCAGAAGACACCTAACTTCTAAATTGGTGTAATTAATACTTTACTTATGGGCTACATATAGCATATATATAAAAGGTGAAAGGAGGACAAGACTGATCAATCTTGTATATTTGTCTGCAAACAAGGCTAAATTCTAATGGAATAAGTGTGGGGTTCATTGTTACTGGATTAAGAAAAAAGACAAAATCTCTTATAAGCAAAGTTTATGTAGTGAAGATTGATCATAAATCCAAAATAGCATTGATGCTGGATATTTAGTAGCATAACTGAGATCATAACTTGTCCCTCTGTAGTTTAAATAGACTTAATATGGTGCACAACAGTGTTTTTCAGTTTCTATTCAGAGCTGAATTTCACTCATAGTAAATTAGAATTCTCTGGCAACTTGCCCATAACCTTTAAACTTTTCTGGTTGATGATTTTAATGCACAAAGGCTTTTTATCAGTAAACTGTGTCTGGATTGGAACCAAACTCCGACTCTACTCTTTCTCTATGCCACAACATTTTTGTAAAGCTGAATAAATATATTACACCGAACCCGAGGCTTTGAAGTGTAAACATCAACCTACTACAGTAACACAAAACAGTCCAAAAATAAGACACTTATAGCCAAATTATTTCTGCAGTATGCAATAGCTAAACAATGTAATATCTTTACCTGAAAAAAATATTGAATAATTGTAATCTGTATTTAAGTGGCATCTGAAATGGATTATCATTCTTGTTTCATTTTTCCCCCTATGCATTTAGTCCCCTATGACTAAAAATAAAAAGGAATTGTAAGCCTGACAATTTTATTTCAGAGACCCTGTGACAACTATTAAAAGAGCACCATCAGACATACGGATTCAAAGAAATTAGGTTACCTGAAAAGGCTTTTGTTATCTGGCATAATCCTTCTTTTCTGCAAAGGAAATGCTGGATTTCTGGAAGTAGGTTTACCTATAAGTAAAAAGAGAAGCTTTAATAATTTCATTCAGAAAAGTGCTCTTCTGCCTGAAGCCTTCAATGGGTTTATGATTAATTTCTCAGAGACACCTCACGTGCAAAACTTCTGTCAGTGTCAGAAGGGAATTACAGCTTTGCCATCCCTGCAACATGGGGTAATGGAGTCAAGGAGTGGGCTTTTCCTCCATGGCTATAACAAAACAAAATTTTAGACTTTGGCCTCTCCTCCTGGCTGCTGAGTTTTCATCCCTTCCCTGCCCCCTTTTCAGTTTCTGCAGCTTCTCTATTCTCTGCCAGTTATCAGTCACTGTCTCTCCCTGCAGGGAAATAGCCTATGCCACTTGAATTGCTGTGCTTGGAAACAGTCGTAAGCTAACATAGCTAAACTGCATCCAGGCTCTGAAACAAAGGACTGCATTGCACCGTGGTATGGACATGCCAGCAGCAAGTAATGATAGCCCAATATTTAAAGTTATCCGGTGAAATGGACCATCTGGTTTAAGTCCCTGTTGTGCTGCACACTTCTGAGAGAACTTGGACAATTCCTTTGATCACCTTGTGTCTCAGTTATTCATGAGTGAAACTTCTGGACATTGCAGAGTGCTGTAAGGATTATTATAGTGCACAGTATTAGAGGCTCAGATGTGCTATTATAGGCAGAATGAGCAAAAAGCAGTGTGCAGAAGCCTGGGGTGTTTTATGATCTGGGACGTGAATCCAAAGCATGCACATTTCTAGCAAACTGGAACCACGACAAAAATTTCACTTTGGATACACTTAGATAAGGCATCCTGTCCCAGAGAACCCCACTTATGATCCTACCTCTGCTGTGGACACACAGTGTTTTTCATATCTTTATGAACTTCATACATTAACTCAATACCTTTTAAAAGCAGCTCTCCCAGTTCCTCAAGTTGGAGTCTATACTTTTTGCTCTTGCCATTATCTGTGTATTCACTTGAAATATAAGCTAAACTGTGCCCATAGTTTGGTCACATTTTTTCAAACAAAGACCTCAGTTCAAATCTCATATTTTTACCAACAGGTCAGGTGCTTAATTACACATCTGCATATCTAAGTAACGTAAACTGTGCCCATAACATGCTCAAGTGAAAAACAGAAGCAAAACAAAAAACAATCCTGAAAATACCAAGAAATATTGGCACCACTGATGTTTTGGACTGTGAGTAAGCAGATTGCAGTGCAGAGCAAGGAATTGCCATGAAGGCCTCAGAGGAGGACAGGGGTCTAGCTCACACATTATCAATCTTAAGACACTGTCGCTATTTGGAGAGATGCCTAAATGATGTTTGGAAAGGAGCAATTACATTAGCTGAAACTCATTAGTGATATAGGATGTGAAGCCTAAATTAGTCCAGCTTTATCTTCTGCCTATGCTATTATTCTGAAATATTGCATGCGTTTGCTAGCTATTTCTTCCCATTTCTAAATTCTCTTTTCCAGTGAGGTAAATTGCTTAAATTTCCCTTGACTTCTGTAGAAGCTTTTTCTTCCTGACATGCTGCTTGAGGGTGGCCAAGAACACAGAAGTTCAAGCTAAAGAAAAGAAAAACTTGACACTCAGTTGTAACAGTTTTCAGTATTTACACTGAACATTCACATCCAAAGTATCATACTATGTCCAAATGAGAAGTTGCTTTTGATCACTGGGCGTGATATAAAGAAGAATGAAACGTTGGTATCTGACAAGTATTCCTCAGTAGACAGAAAACATGAAAAAACTTTTTTATTGGTGTTAAACCGTGCTGCTGCAGTATAAAATAAGTATTAGATACTTTTCTTTTTGTGAGTGAGTGCTGAAAATTTGAGCTAGCCCTGTCCTCTCATTTCTACAAAGGATAACATGATAATCTCATACCTTCTGGAATAGCTCTAGATGATGCAAGTCTTCTATTTGAATGCATCCAGTACCATCATTTTTTCTGGAAGATAAGCAGATCAAAAGATCCCAAGGGCTCATAACACCTATCAGGAAAGAAAAAAAGCATATTGAGAAAGAAACTATCATGCAATTCCTATTTGAACAAAAAATACTTAGAGCCAAATGCTGAGGAATAGTCAACCATTGGAATGCTAAGTACATGAATAGCTACAGGTTGCAGAAGAGAAAAAGACATATTCACTACCACATTTCAAGCTTTGGAACTATATATTTAGGCATTTGACAGTTGGTAGCTCCTGTTATACCTGCCTACTGAAGTCCAGTCCCTTGGTGTTTGACCTGTTTAGCATTCAGAAATGAGAAAGCTCAGTAGCATGGCACTGCTTTAATTTGTTCTCTTTTTTTCCTGAACTCCTCAACATGTACACTTGTAACACACATCCACTACTTACAGTCTGATCTTCTGAGGTCTTTCATTATTGGGAAATAAATTTTACAGAAAGTAATACGAGTCATACTGTTGCAAACAGCAGGATTTTCTAGCCTGAATTTTGGTGTAGTGGCTTCCTAAATATTGGACTGTGTTTTTCCAACATCCAGAACTGGTGTACAAGTGGGAATTAAGTAGCTAGCTTCTGAGTTAGCTCTGGTGCTTCCTTTCTGGAGCAAAATTAGGCTGTGAGACCGTGGAGTTCTATTACCAGGAAACAAGCAACACTGGAGTCAGAGATGGTTGGCTGACAAAGAGTCAAAACTATATTGCACCAATTAAAATATTGTTATGGATTAGAAGACAAAAATAGGTCTTGGAGGCTGCCCATATCGAAGTATGTGATGTGTAGAAATGCCAATGTAGCTTCAAAAGAGCTTGGTCAGCTCCCTCAAGTGATTATTTGTTTTCTTCTGTATATATGGCCTTCATAATCTGGACTACTTAGAGATAGTGGCATTCCTCAAAAGATTAACAGTATCACTATATCTGTTGAGGATACCATGAGTGTGTTCAATAAAGGGTAAACCATTTCAGTGATAGAATGACAGTTAGAAATAAAGAACTATTAAACAGAAAGGGCAGCGAGAGAAGCTGTACAGCATCCAAAGCAGGGTATAGCATTTGGTCAAAGGTCTCTGCAGGACACCTGTTTCAGTGACTGGTTGCTTGGTTCTTTTTCCCCAAGGTTGGGAAGATTACATGCATTTTATTCCATTTTGTGCTAACCATCTGTGATTGATAGTTTCCTAATTTTATTAGATTACTCTCTAAATGTGGTCCCACTAGTGGCCCACAGAGATATTTATTTTGGCTGATTTCCCTCTACAAAATTTTTTTTCTATCTAATCACAATCATGAATGCCAAGCAGGATGAAGATTTCACCTAAGGAGATTTAACACACTCAATTTACCTTAAGTACAGTAATGAATTGATTGTGCAGAATGGGTCCAGGACTATGAAACTATTACCTTCATGTTTGTAAGCAGTGTGACAAAGCTGAAAAGATGAATTTTCAGTTATGCTGTATCCATTACCACAAAGAATTCTTCCATTTCACAATATGAGAACCAGTATTATGGTATAAAAAGAATTAAGACGTGCATTTTGGGCAAGACAGATTCACTACATTCTCCTTTGTGAAAGAAACAAACAAAAAACTGCAGATATAGAAAATAAATGAAACATTAAAGAAACATATAAACAAATACTTCAGTGCAGAAGGCCGGCAGTGTTAACCTACTCAATGGCCTCACTAGCTATGTAATTATCAGATAAGCAAGATGTGCCTTTGACTAGTAAGCACATTTGAATAAATCATTATAATTACATATAAAGCACAAAACCTAGCTGTGTGCAAACTGAAAGGAAGCTGGAGGGAAATCCATTTCTCAGAAGCAGTTCATTTCCTTCCCTTGTTTATTGTTACACATCCTGGCCAGGGATGAATTTGATCTCTGACTCCAAAGTATATGCTGCACTGTGTATCATATATTTGCCTTTAGGACACAGCAGAGTGATCAATATGAATGTACCAAAGAGAAGAAAAGGAAAAAGGGCCCTCAGACCAGGCGTGTTTCTGAGCCAGTACCAACGAAGTAGAACAGTTAACTGCTGGAAACAATAATTTTCAGGAGGGGCTGAATGCCTGCCATTAGTTGTGTTTTCTATTTAGAGTAATTAGACATCTAGCCAGTAATTTCAGTACAGAACAATCAGAACTGAAACATGTCTATTTATAGAAAACAGGAAACTCCCTATTAGAAAAACAGCGTACACCTAGTGCTGCCTCTCAGATTCAGGCTGACAGAGCAGAATGACTTTTGTTTAAATGTTTCAGTACATTCCTTAGCATCTACACCTGAAAAAATGTTTTTGTTCTTGGAAAATAAAAATGAAGAAGCATGTGTTACAACAGCTATTTAGTTCTGGAACAAACTTCTCTTTGAATAGATACAGCCTAGAAATTGCCCATGTCATTCCTCTCACAGTTTAACTTTTTGTGGAAAATGAACATCTATGATCATGAGACCATGAGTCTGTCTCCCTCATGCAAATGTAATAATTATGAAACTGTATCTCAGTGAAAAAGCGCTACTGCTGTCAATATTCCAGTAACACCAAATGGCCCAGGGAAAGGATCCCAAGCTGCTGGGCACTGTATTTTAACACAGAAGAAGATCTCTTTTACAGAAACTATTTCTAAAGTAAAGCAAGATACAATATGTGAGCTAAAACATTCTAGAATAAAAAAGAAAAGAACAAAAGTGACAATAATAACACAAGTCATCTGCATGGAAAAACTCATGTTTCAAAATGTTTTCAGAGATGTTTAAAGAATGTCCATATTATTCTGTCTTCAGTGTACCCACTGTTTTGATGGTTTACTGCAGACTTCCAACCAGAAGCAGACTTCAACAGGACATTTGAAGTGGAAGGTTAAAATGAATACTTCATACCTGAACAATTTGACTACCAGCAGTTTGCATGAAGCTTTTTCTATGCAAAGGTCTTTATCTACAGTTAAAGAAATCTTGGTTGCTTTATTCAGCAAACAAGTGGAGCTCAGCATGTGTGAGCAGACAACCAGTTAAGCAGTATGAAATCCCACCTCATGGAGATAGTCTCTGCTGCTTTGTATTACTCCGCATTTGTACAAGTAGAAGTGTGGTAACTTAAGATGAGAATATGCAACTGTATGTTCATCCCCCCTCTGAGCATCTTTGAAAAGATATTTTTAGTTCAGCCTGTTGACTAAGGCCTTGTCTACACAAGGAATGTTCATCTGCAGAATTATCTTATGCAGGTGAAGTGAGTTTAATATGAATACAGCTTATGCTGGCAGCATGATGCTTTCATTAATCTATATTTTTCGCCAGCACTTTCCCCCAACCTCTCATCCCATCTTTGTAGCCCCATCTTGCAGTCCCATCTTAAAAAGTGTCTGTGTACCTGAGATGTGTATCTCATGTTTACCTGAGAATATCAACCTGAATTACTATCTAAGAATCAGTAGTACAGCATACTTTAATTCCAATCATTAGTCTTATTCTCAAAGAGTCAAAGTACATGCTGTTCAATTCAGAAGGCAATATGTTTCACCTGACAATAGAATATACAACTTCCAATTTTCAACAAGACACCACTGTTTTCATTGGCTTTCACTCTGACTTGTCACTTGGAATAATTAAAACGGTTGATGTGGAAAAATCATTTAAAAGATAATAAATGAGGGAGAAAAACAAACATGTTTTTAGCAGCAGTGGAAATAGCAATGCAGAGACCAATAAAAACATTTAACTTTATAAAAATATTCTGCAGAGAATTTTTGTATTTTGATATAATAGATCAAAGTGAACAGAAACAAAATGAGAACTGTAGGATTTAGTGGGGGTTTAAGCTAGCAGCACATATATTTTATAGATGAACTTCAAGAATTTCTGGAGGTGATTTCTTAAATGAAGTGATCTTATTCCAACCTTTGAAATTATCATGTTCTCCTCACGAGCTATGGCACTGGAGGCTGGATTTTGCAGGAAAACTGTTATATGCATGCAGCTCCAAGGAGGTTTTAAGTTCTTACGTGTATACACAAAACAGTATTATTTGATTTAATCAAACAAGTAAGCTTCATCTCAAAGCTACAGCTTGAAATTTCATTTTACAGCGTTAAGGTTTCCATCCTGAACTTCGAACTGAAAGAACTTTGGAAATAAAACACAGTGTTCAGCTTTTATGCTCATCTTTGTGTACTTCATTCATCCTGTGAAATTAAAAGGCTGGTTAGCTTTATTTTTAATTTCCACTCAGTTTGAAATTTTGCACTTTCTTGCACCATCATACTAGAACTAATCAATTTACAAGCACTGAAGGATAAGAAGATGACAAGAAACAGCCAACATTTATTTGTCAAGAATGTATCTGTAAAACTAGTCTAATTTCTTCTGATAGAGTAACTGATTTAGTGAACAAAGGAAATAGTAGCAATGAAACAGTTCTACTTTGGTAAGTCTTTATACACTTTCCATGTAACATACCTATAAGGTGAGTGAAAAACTGTTTGAAAAAATGACATCTACACTATCAAAGTGGGGTTTTTTTTGAGCAGAACCTTAAAGGATAGCCCATTGTCTAGTGAGTTCTGATCAGATTTTTCAGTAACAAATTTAATGATGGAGGAGTTAAGTGCACTTACAATTAGTAAATGATACCAAGTTGATGGGAAGTATAAGCACTTTGGAAGACATAAGCAGAGTTAAAAATAATTTTGATAGATGGTCCAAATTCAACCTGAGAAAATTCAGAACAAGTTAAAAGTGCCATAATTGAGAAAAATCAGATGGGCAATTGGCCAGAGACCACTACTATAAAAAATGACTTGATTCATAAACATAACATTATAATACTGTTACCACAAACACACACACAAATCTAAATTACTTTTGAGTTGTTGGCAAAGATTTATTGGTCCTGAAAGAGTTGAATCTTCCTCTTCAGAATTGCAGTTTGGCATTATTCTCATAATATTTGAGAGGTCATGGCAGTCAGGTGAAGTTCCTGATGACTGGAAGAAGGGAAATATAACCCCCATT